TTTTTGTTTTGGGTTTATGATTGTGGTGGAAATGATCAGTGCTTTATAAACAGCATGCACTTTGAATAACTGCACACTCACCATGGAATGCAAATTCTATGATAAGTTCTCCATCTTGGTTTTATCTTCCCACATATTTCCCAATCTAGTTTGTGGCTACAGAGATATTTACTGGTTCAGCATAATAAAAAAAAAACACAGTAAGCATGACTGACATGATAAGGCTTTTTGTTCCACTTTCATCTTATCTCCATTGATTCAAGATGGGAAAGCAATGATAAAACATTGCCTCTTCACGTTCTGCAGCAGCGTAGTTTTTCTTTTCTTTTGTCTTTTTGCAGAAATGAGTCCAAACCTCCWACTCGGTTTGTCCAAAATTTGTACAGCTAAATAATGTCACTACCGCCCGATGTTTCAAAAGTTGCTAGATTTTTCTGAAGTGAAAGGAGAACTTGGGCAAGACTGAAACTGAATTTGGCAACGGCATTTCATTTAGAAGAAAAAGACGCTGCGAGTATGGCCGATGAATGAAACCTTAATGCAACAACTCAGTGCGGACTAGAGAAGTGCGTCTTTAAACTGCGAGGTAAATAACAAATCTAACAAATGCAACATTTGAGAAAAGGAGCCATCTTTGAGAGTGCTTCAAGGTTTCGTTATTGCAGGATATGGATATTGTCTTTATTTTTATTAAAAACAAGGAAATCACTGCTGTGATTTATTTTATTTATTATCACAGAGGTATAGCAGAATGCAAGAAGTGTTAATGACAGGAATTGTGCATGGCGTTTTTCAGTGGGTTAAATATCTTTGATAAAGACCATTAAGTTGGAAAGATGCAGCTGGTTTCTTGACGTCAAGCAAGTTACAGTGGTTTGCAAAAGTATTCATACCCCTTGAACTTTTCCATATTTTGTCACATTACAACCACAAACATAAATATATTTCACTGGAATTTAATGTGAAAGACCAACACAAAGTGGTATACAATTGTGAAGTGGAAGCAAAATTTTACATGAATCAAAACATTTTTTACAAATAAAAAACTGAAAAGTGCGACGTGCAAAAGTATTCAGCCCCCTTTTCCCTGAGTGCAACCAATTGCATTCAGAAGTTGCCTGATGACTGCTAATGACTCAAAAGGGTCCACCTGTGTGTAATCTAATCTCAGTACAAATACAGCTGCTCCGTGACGGCCTCAGATGTTGGTTAAGAGAATATTGGGGAGCAAACAGCATCATGAAGTCCAAAGAACACACCAGACAGGTTAGGAATATGGTTTTGGAGAAGTTTAAAGCAGGCTTAGGTTATAAAAAGATTTCCCAAGCTTTGAACATCTCACGGAGCACTGTTCAATCCATCATCCGGAAATGGAAAGAGTATGGCACCACAGTAAACCTGCCAAGACAAGGCCGTCCACCTAAACTTACAGGCCGAACAAGGAGATCACTGATCAGAGAGGCAGCCAAGAGGCCCATGGTGACTCTGGATGAAATGCAGAGAGCCACAGCTCAGGTGGGGGAAACTGTCCACAGGACAACAATTAGTCGTGCACTACACAAATGTGGTCTTTATGGAAGAGTGGCAAGGAGAAAGCCATTGTTAAAAGAAAACCATAAGAAGTCCCGTTTGCAGTTTGCCAGAAGCCATGTTGAGGACACAGCAAACATGTGGAAGAAGGTGCTTTGGTCAGACGAGACCAAAATTGAACTTTTTGGCCACAATGCAAAACGCTATGTGTGGCGGAGAAAGAACACTGCACATCACTCTGAAAACACCATCCCCACTGTCAAATATGGTGGTGGCAGCATCATGCTCTGGGGGTGCTTCTCTTCAGCAGGGACCGGGAAGTTGGTCAAAGTTGATGGGAAGATGGATGGAGCCAAATACAGGGCAATCTTGGAAGAAAACCTGTTGGAGTCAGCAAAAGATTTGAGACTGGGGCGGAGGTTCACCTTCCAGCAGGACAACRACCCTAAACATAAAGCCAAAGCTACAATGGAGTGGTTTAAAAAAAAGAATATTCATGTGTTAGAATGGCCCAGTCAAAGTCCAGACCTAAACCCAATTGAGAATTTGTGGCAAGATCTCAAAACTGTTGTTCACAAACGCTCTCCATCCAATCTGACTGAGCTTGAGCTGTTTTGCAAGGAGGAATGGGCAAGAATTGCAGTCACTAGATGTGCAAAGCTGGTGGAGACATACCCTAAAAGACTTGCAGCTGTAATTGCAGCAAAAGGTGGCTCCACAAAGTATTGACTCAGGGGGGCTGAATAATTTWGCACATCGCACTTTTCAGTTTTTTATTTGTAAAAAATGTTTTGATTCATGTAAAATTTTGCTTCCACTTCACAATTGTATACCACTTTGTGTTGGTCTTTCACATTAAATTCCAGTGAAATATATTTATGTTTGTGGTTGTAATGTGACAAAATATGGAAAAGTTCAAGGGGTATGAATACTTTTGCAAACCACTGTAGATATTTATTCAAAGAGAAGCAGTTTATATCTATTTGTGTGTGAATAGAAAGTGAACCGGTGACCTCTTCTCTTAAATACTGCCTCACTTGTTGAAAGCAGGTGCTGACGGGGAAAAAAAAATACTGAAACACCCACAACAATCCCAAACTTGAACGCCAACTGATTCGATTTCTGTCTCATTCTTGAGTTTGTGAGCGGGCACTGATCGTTTTCAGCATGTCTGCTTCACACATGCACAGGCACGTCATTGTCACGGCYGTGGCCTTGGTGACTGAACCACCATTTCTGCTCAAATCTAATCAGATCCTCCCCTTAAGTGGATAACAAGTGTGTCTCCGGCATTTACAGTAGAGAGAGAGAGAGGCTCAAGTGAAACCAGGACAATCTGCTGTCACACAAAGCGGACACGGTGTGTAGCACTTCTGGCATCCCTCCTGCCATTCGTAGTAGAAAAAATGTTGATTGGCTAACAACTAGGATCTTGTCTGACTGGGAGAAGTTGGATAAGAGCTCTCAGTTACTATTGACAAGTTGAGTATTGTGATGAGCTTGTACTTAGTTACATGGACGAGTGCTGAATAAGGCCAGAAAAGTCCAGCTGACAAGGGGAATTGAATATGTTTGAATGTGCCCGTTGGTTAAAGGAATCCACTGTCAGTGTTTGTGTAAGTTTTAGTACGTTAAACGTGAGACATTTAAAGGGATCCCGATTAGTTGTAACATTAGACTTTWTTTGTTAAACATATATTTTAACMGTAAAATAAAGACTAAAAAAATACTGTAGGATGTTTAGTTTTGTAAATTTTACAAATATATTTTAACACGGACGGAGCCATTTTAATTACATGCAAAGCATTTTGGGTAAATGATGACGTGGACAGGTCCTTGGTGTGAGCGAGTTATATCCACCCTGAAGGTTAATCTTGGACAATATCTGACGATCGACTCTTTTAAATGAAACCAGAGAGCGTTGACAGAGAGGAGAAGATAGAAACGACAGCCTACAACTGAAAATATGGATGGACGACAACAGAGCTGCTTCATGGAAGAAGAACCTCAGCTTAGCCTGTTAGCTTTAGTGTTAGCACCAATGCTATACTGCCTTATATGCTTGGAGCTAGGGTGACAAACTAACAAGCTAAACTGAGGTCTCCCATCCATATTTTCAGTTGCAGGCTGAGTCATTTTTGCGTTCCCCTCTCTGTCATGGGGATGGAGGACCTTAGTGACGAGAGGAGAATGTGTAGCGCTGAGCTAATAAATGTATATGGTGATAGCGTCAGGGCTAACGCTAAAGCTAACAGGCTAAGCTGAGGTTCTTCTTCCATGAAGCAGCTCTGTTGTCCTCCATCTATATTTTCAGTTACAGGCCGAGTCATTTCTACCTTCTCCTCTCTGTCAACACTCTCTGGTTTCATTTAAAAGAGTCAATCATCAAATGTTGTCCAAGATTAACCTTCAGGGTGGATATAGTTCGCTAGCGTCCTCGCACCGAGGACCTATCCAYGCCATCATTTATCCAGAATGCTTTGCGTGTAAATAAAATGGCCCCGTCCATGTAATATATTTTTAAACTTTTAGTTAAAAAATTATAAAAACTGAACAGCTTACTGTATTTTTACAGTCTTTATTTTACAGTTAAAATATATGTTTATTAAATAAAGGCCAATGTTACAACTAATCGGGGATCCCTTTAAAAAAAGGAAATTATAAAAGCAAATTCATTCTGACAGGGCAGCTTTTAGTTTTGTAACAGCATATTATAACATCTGAAACCTTCAGACAAAACCACAACATGTAATGAATAAAAGCTGACTGCACAAAAAATAAATGCTTATTAAGGAAGACACAGTGACTGAATGAATATATAAATTTAACATGCAACTTAATGTACTTTACGGCCTAAAAGGAACAATCTGAACGTATTTAAGACTTTTTGGGGCCTAAAGTTGATTTAATTTAATTTAAGAATTTCTGCAGAATGTCTTTGTATCAGTAAATTAGCTTCAATTTATTTTAGCCTTCATAAAAAATGTTCAGCCTCAATTCAGTGAGAATAAATGAACAGCAGCTAAGTTAACTTTAAGTCTTTTCCAAAATTACACTGAAATGCCAAGCAAAATGCTTCGCAGGCGGTTTAACAATAACAATAATGAAGTTATTTGTGAGAACTGTAAAAAAAAAGAAAACTGGTTGTAAAAGGTGTAATATAATCTTTGAAAATCCCGGCCCCCTGCTCATTTTGGAACTTCAAAACTTGTTTTATCGCACTTATTTTGTACGCAACTACTAATGCCTGACCATCCACGTTTAAAATAGTGAATGACTAAAACGATTTAGTTAAAATGACATTAGAAGTTGTTTAAACTCCTCCCTTAGAAACAAGGGTCAATTGTGCTGCCACAACCCCTGAAGCAGGAAGCAGAAAACTCTGAGAAACGATCAGCGATTGGTCAGTCAGACAGAAAAAGGGTGGTCCAGATGAATTAGTGATAGACGCTAAAGGCAGATATCCTGTAGTGATCAAACCCTGAATGATCTAACATTCTGGTGTTTGAAGTGATTATCATGCTACACAACATAAAGGCTTACGCCCAGCTGTGGGGCTAATTAGCTCACTTAGGGCCATTTATAAAACACTGGCAGGGACTGGAAGGGACAGACGCTCACTGGGAAGTCAGAAGCTTAACAGGACAGCTGCAGATCTGGATCCTTAAAGCTGACACGCTGCTACATGAGAACTAACTGATCCGAAGATTACCTGCTTTCCTAAGAATGCCACACTTAAGCGACTGCAGCTACTACAAAATGCGGGATGCAACTAGAGCTTCAAAAGTAAGATGATCAAAATTTAGAAAAATAATGAAAAAGTGTGTTTTAATATCTTTTGGAAAGCTTTAATGATGTTTATATTGTTTGGGAAAAATTGTTGTTTTAATTTTTTTTCACCTCTTTGTGTTTTATATAACAATGTTGCTTTTGCTTTACTTAAGAAAAAACACATCATCAGGACACCAGCTTTAGTCATAAATGAGTAAAGTTGCCGTGTCTAAATGATTTGTAATTGTATTTGTATTGAAAAAGATTGTAACGTTGCAGCTGCTTCCAGCAACTCCTCTAAATTTACGCTTAGTCACCATTAAGGGAACTCAAAGATATGACTGAAGGGACTTTTTGTTGTTTTCTCACAGGTACCGAGCCACCTAGAGAATTCCAAGTTCCATCTCTACCAAAGCCAGGGCCAGCCAGTGAAGCAGTACTTGACTTTGGGCTCCAAGCTGGCCTCCTCGGCCGGACCGGGTCACACCGTACCGCATCCGCACTCCGCCGGCCAGCCGCTRGCCACCGTGCCGACCATGAGAAACGGACACATGCCCCCCGTCAGCGATGGCAGCAATCCCAACAGCCCGGTCACCCTGCTCACCATGGCCAACCACGACAGCGAGGTGAGTTGAAACAGAAGCAAAAACTAACCACGGCTGACGACGTGGAAGTGAAATCCAGAGACAGAGCTCAAAATGTGCCTGGAAAGGGTGAAATCGCAACTAAAACTTTAAGCCACATTGTACGACACKGCTCACGAACAGGAGGGGTCATAACTTTTGAAAATTTCGCAATGTCCTTGAAACATTTCCTGTCAATGGTTTAGATTCCAGTGAAAATATTTTCTTCTGTGGTAATGTAAGAGATTGTCTACTTCTAAACTCTTTCAAATAAAGTCTGGTAAATCACGACAGGCACTTTGTTTTGATGACCAGTTAACACAAAGACGAGCATTAAGATCTACTTTTCTTTCTGCACTGGCTTTGAACCTTCTACACACACAGAGTAACTAATCATCCAAACAAAGTTCTGCCACTATTGATCTTCCCCCTCCCTCTGATGTGCTCATCAATAACTTCAGACATGCCGTCTCTGATGAGAGAACCCTTTCAAAGGACGAAACTAGTTTGGTAACAGATGCGTGTTTTTTAAACAATAAACACGGCTATTAATTATCAGATTCATTTTTTAACGGGTTTCAAATGTTCAGATCTCTGAAGACGATTACGGTTGACAAACATCAWCAAGCTGTGTGTGAGCACACTGAAAGTACTGTTTTTCTTTTAGTTTCCGATGGATGAAGTTATTGATGACCTAATTAGTCTTGAATCCGGCTTTAACGATGGTGGCTTGGACTGCATGGAGCCTAACATCATATTGCAAAACAATGTAAGTATGAAGCATTTTCTCTTGCTCTACCAGAAAGCTATCAGTTWCTGATGTTCACCACAGTTCTGTTTAGGTTTATGTCACATTAGTTAACTAATGACATCTCTTCTTTAAAGCTTAACAGGGACTTGAAAGTGATGTCCCTCCACCCAAAACACCCACTCCAGAAGCTAGACTAGCTTGGGAAAGAAATAAAAGAGCTCTGATTTACTTTCAGGTCAGCTTAGGAGAGGAGAGGTGAGTCAAAGTTCACCTGGGCTTAGTGACATTTGTTAGGGCACAAAAGAAGATTAGATTTTTTTTGTAAACTTAAGGAATAAAGCTGAACCTTGCGAAGACAACTAAATATCAAAAAGGAGTTTAAAAAGTTTGTTTGGCTGGAATATCACATTTTGATTTGGCCATTGATACAAAAAGTGATGCATACAAAGACTCATTCAGATAAATAAAGTTACAGAGTAAAACAACAGAAAGAATGAGGTGGGAGTTAAAGATAAGGAGATKAGGAGTAGGTAGAGGCAAGAAAAAGAAGTGTTAGTGGGGTTTTTAAAGACAGACATGTAACAAAGAGGGAGGAGTTATAGGGAGATACTGAGCCATCGGATTGAGCTAATGCATGCACTCCCCATGGGCTTATTCAGAAAGATAYCATGCTTAACTGGATCAATTCTTCCTAATTAGTCATGCAGTACGATGCGTTACTTTGCTTTGCCTTGTCAACACATTCAGGAACAGTAACGCAAGAAGGTTTGGAGTGTTTACAGTAGGATCAGGAGGGGAATTGTTGCAAYATTCACATTTGTCCGCCCCTCTTTTTTTTCTTAAAGCCTCCATTACTGATGAGGAAGACACAAAGCCTCAGTAAATATCTGACACAACACTTTTTCTTTACTGTTTTGTTATTTTGGCAGGCTTTTTCCCCTTTCACCACTCTTGCAGCTACATTTGACACACACGTCGGGTATGAAAATCAGTTGTTCGTTTCTCGGAATCCATGGCAAATTCTGTTGGATTTCCTCATAAATACACAAATGTGAATTAGACACACATGTGTGCCAGCATGCCATACCGTGACGTGTTTCTGCTCCGTGAAAAGGCGTCAATGTTGCATGCTTTGCTGGACAAGAAGTGGCCAGCAGGAAAACAGTTTTGCCTCTGTTCGAACAGTTGACCTAGCTAGCCTTTTCWTCTAATGGGATGCTGTTTTTGACACAGAAGACACCAGTGTTWAGTGAGGGGGCTTTAAAAAATGGAGCCCCCATTGAACTAAGGCACAACATCTGGTGAAATCACCCTTCGATAGCAACAAGCCTGGGTTGGAGGTCAGCAGTTAGGATTATCCAACAAGGCTACATTCTTCTTGAATTATTTTTACTCTTTGTCTTTCAAGGCAAACAACTAATCTTAGGACCGAGGTCAAAGCACGGGGTTTATACTGCCCTGCTGGGACAAACGAGGGSCTGCTTCTCCAGGCTGGGTAGTCCAAATACTCAGCCTGATGAGCTTCTCTGATAATTCCACTTGCCTTTTGTTGTATTACTCAAGGCTGGACAACAACAACTATTTCTCTAATGGCTTTTAATGAGATGTAAAAGTGGCATGTGTGAAAGGTGCTTCCCTTTCGAYTGACCTGTTTAATTTCTCTCCCCCATCTCTATAGGTCTCCCTAAGCAGCAGCATGCTGGACGTCTATGGGGGTGAACAAGGTATGAACCCCCCTAATGGTGGAATCAGTCCCACATCTAACCCCACAAAGCTCACTGTTAAAAGGGAATACACAGGTATGAACTCATACCATGGTGTCAGAAAAAAAAGAAAAGAAAAGAAAATAGGTTTCCTTCATGTGTTGAGTCTTTGGTGATGGGGTACCTGTATTAGCTAAAAATGGTACCTTGCTGGGAAACTGTCCAGTTAAATTTGTCAGGCTTATTTTTATCTGGTACTTGACAATGCCTTGTCACAAAGTTTGAGAATTAGCTGCAAAAAGGCATTCGTCTTTCACTACAGGGTTACAGAGGGACTGAATTACGTAAAGTACCCTTCAGATATTTCTTAAGAATCCCAAGCAAAGCACAAGGCCAAAAAAAGCCAATACAAACTCTAATTGATTTAGGAAATAGAAGGGATGCCTGAAGAATCCTTCACTCTCAATGGGCAAATAAGTAAATTACAATTTGTTTCATTTTAATGTGGACAGAGAGGACAATGGGTTGTTACACAGACTTTAAATTTGTCTTGATTGAATCAACAGAGACAAATTGGGAAATCCAATCCCTGACCCTTAATTGTGTRATTTGGAAGAATGTGAATACAAATATGGATGCAGTGGCATTTTTGTGCCCCTCCAGGACACATTAGGGGAATTAGCTAACCATCTTAATTGCAGCACAAGTAGTCTAAAAGTGGTCACGATTATTATCTTTTTTGTTCCTCTTTACAATGAGCTTCAGACATTGCTTGTGGGGATAAACGGGGCACACATGGTGTGAGTGAAGGTCAAACTTGTGTCTTCAGTGTAGGCTCATGTATAACCGCAGTGCACTCTGACCCCTTTCCTCAAAACAACTGGTTGTGTGTCTACTGACTGGGCCTTCTGTGATTGTTGTCTTTYAGCTTCTAAATCAGTGTGCGTTGCTAATCCATTTGTTCCCCTCTGATTTATTTTGTCGACAGAGCACGACACCAGGGTGATGGCCAAAGAGAGGCAGAAAAAGGACAATCATAATTTAAGTAAGTGATCCTTGTTGGTTTGTTACCCATTAATATTATAGAGTTGTGTCACTAAGCACATCAGTAGACAATGCTCTTATCTAGTCTTATCTTTTCTTGGTTTGYTTAGTTGAAAGAAGGCGAAGATACAACATTAACTACAGGATTAAGGAACTGGGGACGCTTATACCAAAGTCAAACGACCCGTAAGTTCTTGAATATTGACATAAACGATACCCTATCTTTGGTTTACCGAAACTGCAAAAGCTTGTGTGGTGATGGAAGCATATAATATTCAGCATAGAGACACTCTAAATGTTGCTCATTGAATTTAAATGAGCACTCGAAGCACATTTCAACCATATTTCAAGGGTGCACTTAAGTTTCTATTGTAGTCTGCACTCTTTGAGATGTGCGTCTCCTCACCGGGTCCCTGCGGTTCAACTTAAAGCATGGATGATGAGGAAAAGGGGTCAAATGTAAAGAAGCGGGCCACAGCATTTGAATCGAAGTTTGAAACTAAATTTGAACGTACAGATAGAGCGCGGAACATCGGCCATCTCGTCACAGYTGAACTTTGCTTCAAATATAAATGGAAGGTTAGAATTGTCACCGTGCCATTAACAAGGGATAAAGGAGATTATTAACGCTGATCAGACCAATGTCGCACTTGTGTGGAAAATGACAATTTTACTGAGGTCCCTGTCCTTTTTAAAAAAGCAATAATACCTGCAAAAGAACGACTTGCACTCCAGCACCTTAAGTCCAATTCTCCATCTTTCTCTCTGCCTTCCTACTTAGCTCATTTTCCCCTCACCTATTTTTACTTGAGGATTAATTTTACCGAACAAGGATGTACAAGAATGGACTTTCCACATAGCTTCTTAACTATTCTATTAAAATCCCCATTCTGTGTCCTCGTGTAATGTCCAAGGATGAATAATTGCCCCATGTAAGTCTCCATTTCTTATTCAAATCATAAAAGGAAGGGGGAAAAAAACTTCTGTTAAAACTCCCCCCTCCTCCTTTTTCTTATTGCAAAGGATATTCTGCCGACATCAGGGGGTTCTGCGTAAAAGGTTATTCCTGACATTTTCTCCCCCCTTTTCTGTAGTGACATGCGATGGAACAAAGGCACCATTCTGAAGGCCTCGGTGGAGTACATCAGGTGGCTGCAGAAGGAGCAACAACACGCTCGGGAGCTGGAAAGCCGTCAGAAGAAGCTGGAGCAAGCCAACAGGAGGCTGCTGCTGAGGATCCAGGTAGTTAAATCTAACACTTGCTGTGTGTTTAGCAAATAATGTGCAATAAACACACCAATGAAATACATGTTTGGAGCAATAAATCAGAGCTCATAACAGTAAGAACTAATTCAGGTATTTTATTTTGACATTTAGCTGTTTAGTTATGCTCATTGTGAAAAAAATCTAACTTAAGATTACGATTTTGTTTGTGTCAGTACAATTTTAATTGYGACAATATTTGTGAGGTTGCAGCTCATACATTCTCGATTCAAAGAGCTCCAGAAAATTCCTAGTTTCGCACCTTCACCTTTGCTTTGAATTAAAAACATGTTTGGGACACCCTTCCTCCAATATGAGCATGTAAAACGTAGGGATAGATCTACAAACTAAAGAGAAGGGATGAAATGGAATTTGACCACAGACAGCAGCAGTTTAACACAAACTAAAGTAGCAAGTTTTGAGACAAACATGTCTGTAGCTGCCTTAAAATGTAAAAAAAATAAAAATAAAAAAAAAACAGTCAAACGTGAGCACCTGTGTATATAAAAAAAATAAATTCTAACAAAGATCAACCACAGCTTTGGRATGATAGTCACAAACAATAAGCTCATATGCTGTGACAAAAGTGGGTGTGGGAAATAATTCCAATGCTTTGCATCAGTGTGTGTAGGAGATGTGAAAAAGGTGTGGCGGTGCATTTCTTGGTGTTACTCCCTGCTATCACTCAACCTATGTGACCAGATCTGATAAAAATGTAACTCCCGTTGGAATTTTTTTTATTTTGCAGGAGCTTGAGATCCAGGCACGAGCACATGGACTGCCAAACATGGCCAACACTCTGGGGACAGTCGACCTTTCCTCCCACCTCCTCAAACAGCAGCAGCAGCAGCAGCAGCAATCTCCTTCCCAGGCGCAGCAACCGCAGCAGCCCCCTCTCTACCAGGAGGACCCCAACAGTGACTACCTTCAGAGAATAGCCGTGTTGACGGGCGTGCCATCCATCACCGCGGTAAGCGGCACTCAGGATCACATCCAAGGGGCGGAYGCCGGAACCACCTTCTCCGACCCGCTCTCCCATTTCACGGACTTCTTTGCCTCTACGCTCAAGGAAGAGAACCAGCTGAACGAGATCCTGATGGACGACCCGCTCTCGCCGTTCGGCACCGACCCGCTCCTCTCGGCCAGCTCTCCTGGAGCTGCGTCCAAGGACAGCAGCCGCAGGAGCAGCTTCAGCTCTGCTGAGGCCGATGACCTATAAGGGTCTGCCTGCTCATAGGAAACTTTAAGACTGCACAGCTGTGATCCCCCCCAAATGATGAACACAGAACCTTGAAAACACTGACTGATGAACTGTACATGTGACCACTAGCAGCCTTACAAATACTTTAAATAACAGCTGACAAACTGTGTAGTATTCCTGGAMGTGTTACAGAAGTTTTTTATTGGAACCAGTCCCATCATGAACTTTATTTCAGACAATCTGCTTCCTGTAAAGAGCAGACTTGTAAGCAAAAAAAGGGAGACATTTATCAATATGTAAACAATACTTGCTGTCTTTTACAACACTGTGGTGACTTTACACTGTAACATATGCAATATGACTAAACACTGTACTTTTTACCAGATATATGCATTTTATGAAAGGCCTTATTAAAACTTTCAAACTTGTACTTCAAGTACTCACCTCAGTGCTTAACATGTCCTTAACTTTGTGCCTTTTCAGATGTTTTGTTTAAGTTTGTTTGTATTTATATGTGTTGTAATCCATGTATTCATAAAAAATACAGTATATAAACTACTGAATCAGCTATTATCTTTTTATTATTAATAGGAGTGGGGAAGTTATATTTAAAATAAATGTCCCCATTTGTTAAAAACAAGGATTTGTTTTGGTCAAACCTTGAAAAAAATGTTATGCACGATCTCACACTCACAGTATGTGTTGTGAATGACTCTCAACTACTACCGTATCAAATTTGAGCTCAATGTACGTAAAGTCAACTGAGTTATAGTCATTTTTATATTTCTCAGTGTCAGCTTGAGTCCAGATGTTAACTAATCGTAGCTGTCCGTCTAATGATCACTTTCTATAGTTTCATTGAAATTCATGAAACAAACACATTATTGCTCCAGTAATAAAAAATTTCTAGGATAAATATTTTTTTTTTTCTGGCAGAAGGTGAAGGGTTGGCTTAGAAGGTGGCTGATTGGAAATGAGTGGCAGAAAGGAAGGAGGGAAATTGGATAATAAAGACAAGTAGAGGAGGAGTGATAAATCTGATGAGTCCACTGTGAGTTGATGAGCCCTTGAGGATGAATAATGGCAACAGATAAGGAGTTGCTATGAGAGCTATTAGCCGCCAGCTAAGAAACTTTCCTTTGAGGTAAGAAAGATGAGATGTGCTCTTCGCTTCTGAAGAACCGGGGCTGAAGAATTTGTCAGAGCTGATAAAGTTATTTCAAGGTTTGTTTGTGACAAAACTTGAACTGTACGGTCGTAAAGGGTTACATCAATGTGCTTTAAAAATAATTTGAGTTTATTCAAAAATACCACAAAAATAGTCTAAAAACATTCCAATTCTTCCCGAATTGACTTTTCATTAAAACCTCTTTAAAATTATGTTTTAGACTGTGAGAAAATACACATTTTAGATACAAATAAACCTGAGTAGACTGATCATTATTAGTAAGTCTGTAATGTTTTACAGGTAATTGGTCAAATCAGTTGTGGATGGTTGAAAAGGATTTGTATCACAATTAGAAAAGGAACAATCTAAGATAAACTTATGGAATATTTCAAAATGTTATATATAAATAATTGTTCACACTTTTTTCCTTAATAGCCTTTGTATTGTGGTGCWTAAATGTATAAAACACGCAATCCAATTATTTGAGTGTTTATAATGATGGAGCTTAACAGCAGAGTGGTGCTCTAATTAAAGTACAATAAAAATATAAATTAAAACAAAGTCCTGGTGCTCCTTGGAAGAATGCATATCCACCTACCTTTCATGCAAAGGTTTTAAATAAAAATGATGACTCTCAGCAACTACCACTACAAAATTTATTTCAAAATCAGTAAAACTGACTGAGCTATAGCAGATTTTGAGTTTTCTAAGTTTAGTTGGTTGTTGCAGTCATCCTGAACTGGATTGACTTCAAAAGCCAAACAGTTGTAGTTATAGACCCAACAATTGTTTTCTGAGTTTCATTACAGTCAGTTTCCTGTGGGTCATAAGATATTTTGCTAACAGACAGACAACACTGATTTAATGGCAAAACTGAACTAATCTTTTACAATCACTTAGCATTGGGTTATTCAATGGGGATGACTGTCAGCTACTACCAAGTCAAATTTTMGTTCARTATTTRCAAAGCTAACCAAGYTAAATACATTTTATCTAGTTTTTTTAAGRTCAGTTGGCAGCCATCTTGAAWCAAGTGGACATTTGGTCAAAAGCCATCACAACAAAAAATCAAGGCCTGCTTTTGTCGATTTGAAAAGGGAATAGAAAGAGGTAACAGTGATCAGAGCGAGGGTCTTTTTATTAGAAGATTACGATTTTATAAAAAAAATACACAGGACATTTGGGAGAACAGATMGTGTGTATTTTAGGAAAATTTGCAGCCTCACTTATTTTTCATGAGAACCAGATGAGATTAAAGCTTTTCACATTTGCTGCCGAAACAAATAACTATGACTGTTGCATGCCAGAATAAGCACACAAGATGAAAAATAAAAGCTGTAGTATTCAACTTCTAACAGCAGGTGGCAGTAATGAGCTGTGTTTTAACACAACCGTGTATTGTAGTAAAAAATTAACTCAAAACAGGACATGGCAAAGAGAACCTAATTTTAAAACAGCTTGTAAAATAAAAAAATTAAAAAAACGCTATCCTGTAAATTATAACACCGTGCTCGTGTACAGGACTTGCACATATTGGCAGTGTACCTCGGCAGTGCCTTATGAGCTAAAGTTCATGGCACTATACCTCCCAGTATAAACTGACAAATCTAAAGAAGGCAAGTGATGTCGTGAACCTCACAGCAGAGTCGTTCTGTCACCAAAACAACGTTGTCAGACCTCCTGCCACCCACCAACACTGACACCACCACTGAGCAGGAGAAGCTGTCACCTGTGCAGAYGCCACGGCTGCCAGCGCGCTACAATGCACTCACCTGTCGAGCCTGCCATTGGCAACTCTTAATCACCTCCCGCTGAGGTGACTCACACACACACACACATATTCAGTGCCCTGCACATTCACGAACACAAACAAGCCTAATCAAATGTGCTTGTGTGCAAACACAAATGTGCACACGCAAGCAGAAACCGAAACACACACATGCATGCACAGGTTTGTGTCTCATTGCACTCTGTTGCCACATATACGAGGAAGAGTGGCGGAGAGGGAGGGGAGGGTGGGAAATAACCACCTAAAAGCCCTTATCAGGATTTGGACTGTGACAAGACTTGTGCACAAAATAGGTTGAAATTTGAGTGGGAATAACAATATGACAGCTGGCAGGGAGGCACCAAACATCAAGTGTCATTTCTATTTTCAGCTGTGACTCAGAGCTGTGTGACAAACAACACCACGCTGCTTCTCAATCAGTCAGCCCGTCTGCTGGAAATGTGGCAAACTAGGGCCCCGGGATGAGCCTTCCCTTCAGGAAAAATCAGTAACGATCTGACGCTATGGTCAAAGTTAAAGGTGGAGTTATAAACTTAGCCAAAGTCTGAGCATTACATTTAAAGCTCGGGAACTTATCAAATATTTCCTTCCCCTCGGTGCGCCGCTGTAATCCGCTCCACGATTCTGACCTCAATCCTGCTTTTTATTAGGGACCACACCCTGACCAAGCTCTGAAAAAACACTCCCWCGTCACTCACCCGGCAAAGCATTAACAATGGAACGCAAGAGAAACAAAAAGAAAAAAAAAGAAAAAAAAGATGCCATAAAATTAATGCCGTTTCCAGAGAATTTTATGAATCGAGCCAGATGCCAAAAACATAACTTCAAACAAATTGACTTCCAATTATTGGTGCCGCGCACCACCTCCAGATGTGCAACAGATGGAAGCTGGAGGCGACCGAAAGGTGTCTCTGGTCCTGAGCTCCGTGTTTTCCTGCAGTAAAAACAGCCGTTTCAGTTGTATGTGTTTTAAATCAGATTGGGCTGTGGACTGGAGGTGAAGGGAAGGACAAGAGGATGGCGGAAGAAAAAGAAAGAAAGAAAGAAAGAAAGAAAGAAAGAAAGAAAGAAAGAAAGAAAGAAAGAAAGAAANGAAAGAAAGAAAGAAAGAAAGAAAGAAAGAAAGAAAGAAAGAAAGAAAGAAAGAAAGAAAGAAAGAAAGAAAGAAAGAAAGAAAGAAAGAAAGAACATCATTAGGAAAACGTAAATCTGCCCAGCACAGAAAGTGGAGAGCCATATGTAGCTTAAATACAGCTTGATTATTATGGAAATGTAGATGAGATCCTAGGACTGAAAGCTGGAGATGTTTTAGGAGTGGGAGGGGGGGTTGAAAAATGTAAATGTGATCTCTGCTGTATCTTTCAGTGTTGGGATTAAACGTTAAAAAAGAACAATTCAGGGCTCGCGTTTGCTTTTTTGAAACTTACAATATCCTTGCAAGCATAAAGAACATTAGATAYGATGTGAAGATATTCACAATACATCGCTTCCTGTATTGGAAAGTCAGTTGTAAGAGCAGCTTCACYCTGATTGGTAATAAAGTCTCATTTTGGAAACTTTACATTTTTTTGATAAGGCACATAAAAGTAAAAAAAAAAGGAAGCAATTCAGAGTGAGAAAAGTAGGCTTCCTTTCACTGCCGAGGAAACTAGTAGAATATCCAACAGCAGTACGGTGTCCTGAGAGGGTCATGGCTCTGATCCCATTATTAGCTCAGATTTGGGCCCCGGGGGGAGACAAAACGGTTGTGTATTTTTTCCAAAAGTCCATAGTGAGGCTGTCTACCAGGGTCATATTATCACTAGAAGTCTTCTTGAGCACCACAGGTCTTCCTCTGATCTTCAGAGGCCATAAAACATCTCTCTGCTCCTTCACTTTCTTTCTTTCAGTTTTTTTTAACTCTGCCAATTCAAATACACCAGAGAGCGCAAAGCGTTTGGCTTTGCTATCCCACCTCGGCGCAGCAGACGACTCCCCTGCTCTCACAGAGTTGTATGCTAATCGAAGCAGCGACCCCTTCGCCCCCACCACCACCACCTCTTTAGCACCACTTTACCCTTGTGTAATTTGGATAACCTTGGACTGAATGGGACACAGCTGAGGAGAAGCCCCTGATTAATTTGTAGTTTATGACCATTGGACCTCAAAAAGGGTCACCGACAGGTAAAACTACTGCTCCCACATCAAAACAAATAAATAAAATAAAATGACCAAGGACTTTTCTAATAGTAGTTGGCTGTAGCTGCAGTCTTGACATAGTTATTTTCTAAAATAATAATTTTAGATGAGAATAAATAAAAAATACTGAATGGAGCTTTTCAAGTGGTAGACAACCAGTCTTTTCATCTCGAGCTTCCTGTTTCCTCATAATGTCTGGATTCAAGTTGGCCTAAATGTCAGCATGAAGATGGTGTTGGGGAGAGAGCATCGTCATTAGCAGGGGGGGATAATCGGCGCTGCATTTTGGGCGCTCTGATGGACATCTCGTTTGCATTATTCATTCTCCTTCCCTCTCTTTCACCTACTGTTTGTATCCCCTCCACCAGCTCAACACAAGCCAGGTGCTGGGCCTTATAGGAGCTCAACTCA